ACTTTAAACTGTATAAATAATGTAAAATTAAATTGATTTAAACAGCCAATCATACGAAAGTCTTCCTATGGAAACCTACACCCTAACCCCAATTTCTAAGAAATTCCAAATCCATTCACACTTACAACATATGTAAATACGACAAGTAATTCGATCTACGACATTTATTACAGCCTACGACAGTCATTACGGCCTTAAACATTTATTACGACCTATATCATATATTACAGCCCACGACAATACACACGTGCTACAGCAGGTTGCGATGGTAGTAATATTGAATTATAGATTGAATTATAGAATTAATGTTGGATTACTAGTAAGATCACTGCATAGAGCGTAAATATTGTGATGTATCTCTTGTGATATAAACCTATCTGCATACATTTCATATATCTCAGATTAGTCATGCGATAAGAATCCATGAATCGAACGGTTTGTTTATCTCGCGCGAGATTTAATTTTATCTTATACAAATCGCATGAAATCGCGAGTGCAGTAGCTTCTAGATGAAATCTAAAACATTTCATTGAAATTTTCGTTAAATCTGCCAAAAGTGTACTAACCAATAAAAATTATTCTCTTCGTAGAATTAAAATTCCAACCACTTGTACCATGTAAGTATAATATAAATTGATATTGGTAGAATACTGTATTATAGATCCTAACTTTTCTAATTACTACAACTTTAAAAAAAAATATTTGTTTTTACAGAATTGTTTAATTTCAAGGTTAGTTCTAATTATAGTGATGCATGAAGTATCAATTATATAACAATTTTCAGATTGTAAAACAGCAAATGGATACTTAAAAAATAGCAATAGTTTGTTATGAAATAGTCATTACGTTAAAGTATTTTAAAATATTTTGATCAAAATAGTAAAAGTTCCAGATAAAATTTTATTAAACTATTAGATTTTTCTAATGCTCACTGGTAACGTTTCCATCAGTGGGTATTATTATATTCATACCACTATAACTGTATAAGTCGAGTATAATAGATTTTCAAAAAAAAAACTTTAGACATGGCATACGCGTGTTATTCTAGTGACGGAAAACATTTAAGACGCAGAGAGATTTCAAAATGAATATTATATTGACATACAGTTAATATGTTTTATATATGAGATATACAGTTAATATGTTAATATGTTTTATATATGAACAATTGTTTATATATTTACGGTATATGTAAGATAACGCGAATACCAAAGTAATCAAACTTCCGAAATCTGAAAAATTTCATATTCATCAACTAAAAAATACCCTTCAGATCGAATTGGTTTTTCATAGCTATAATTTCCTGAATAACATTTCATCTCTTCTCTATAATTCTCACCATTGACCGTAATATCGTCAAAGCCAAATGACGGTCCAAGATATTCCTGCAATATTAGATAATTTAAAAAAAGATATTGTATATATGTCGATATGTTATGAATAGTTTTTTATACCTCATAATTTAATGCACTGTTTCTTCTTTTCACGCGACTCAAAACGGCATTTTTCATATCAGCATCACCCAATGAAAAAATAAAACTACTAGATGTTTGTCCCCA